CTCTGTCCTATACGGTCACTATGAGCTGGAATTGACTTAAGGGCAGTTGAGCGTTTTTTTTGCTTGTTTTACTTTTGGCTTTAAAGACCACCCAATGCCAGTTCTCACCTGCTCCTCTCTATGTGTGTCCCTTCTGACTTCATTCATTTTATGGCACCAGAACTGGCTGCTAAAAGAAACGTAAGTATAAAATAAAAGGTTAAACAGAAATGAGAATGCAGAAACGCATTCTAGCAATTATGCTGCTTGGGACAAGGACCTCAATGATAGTGCCAGATGAGGAGCAAGAAGGGCTGACAGAGGGGGGGCTCTGAAATAAAGCACAGCTTCATTTTAAGCTTCTTCCTCTTTGAGACAATGGGAGGTTTGCAATTATAGCTGCGTGTGTATTTGCATTTATACACCATCCTAATTTGGCTAGTGAGTTGTAAGGTATTGATTGCTTATGCAAATCCTGGCAATATCTGGGGCGTTCGGATGCCGATTACTTGAGATTTACTCAAAAGCTGGACATTCTCAGGGTCCTCACTCTGTCAAGTAGCTCATAACGGTGGCCAGCAGGGGAGCAGGGACTTCTATTAACATCTATCCCATCACCGTGCCTCCAATTCACCTCCAAACCCGTTGACTGGCTTATTTAGAATACCACAGAGTCATTTTTTAATCCAATATGCCTATGATATTTCTGCCACCTCTTTCTCCAAAGATCTCTCCAAGTGACTATTTTAATTATATTTGTCCTTCCATATGATTTGAAACAATGACTTGGAATCAATTAAAGTTGCTAATAAAATGGCAAATGTCATCATGCTAGTGATTAGTCATATTTGTGAGTCTCATTAAATGAAGAAGTAATCATTGGTAGTTTTAAGATACAATATTTGAAATGTCTTTGGTCTCCTGCCAAAACCGAGGACCAGCGGGGCTCCCTTCTCTTAATCAACCCTAGAAAACCGATAGGAGAAAATCTGGATTTAAGGAGGTGACAAGTAGAAGGAGAAAAAGAGGAGAAAGAGAAGGGAAAGAAGAAAAAGCGGGAAATGCAGGGAACAAGGAGAAGGAGGGGACAAGGAGGGCACAGGAAATGAGGAGGCAGAGGAGCAGAAAGAGGAGGATAAGAAGGAGGCTGGGAAAAAGAATGGGGCAGGGGGCGGTGGGGGGTGGGGAGGG